CGACGGTCTTCGAGTCGACCATTTTGAAGTCAAGAAAATTTGCCGACGACGAACTTCTTCGCCCAGGCATCCTCAGTCTTGTACTTCTTCTCGAAAGCAACTTTGGGCTAAATTCTCCAAAGAGTTTTGGGTTGCTTTGGAGAAGTACAAGACTGAGGATGTCGGGTCGAAGAAATTCGTCGTCGGCAAATTTCTTAACTTCAAGATGGTGGACTCGGCGTCGTGTCTCAAGTGCAAGAGTTCCAAATGATCTTGCACGACATATATGCTGAAAGAATGACTTTGAGTGAGTCATTCTAAGTTGCGGCAGTGATTGAGAAGTTATCACCGGGTTGGAAAGACTTCAAGAACTACCTTAAGCATAAGAGGAAATAAATGAGTTTTAAAAACCTGGTTGTGTTAGTCTTCATATTGATGAGGACAACCATAATTCATCTGGGAAAGTCCAGATGATGAATGCTCGTGCCAACTTGCTGGAGCAAAGCAACTCGAGTAAGAGAAATCCCCCTAACAACGGAAAGCAGCGTGCCAAGGTTTGGAAATTTACCGGCTCTGCCACAACTGTGAAAAGCCGAACCACTTGGCGAAAGACTTCAAGAAGCTAAAGAAGGATGAGCCAAAGAGGGTGTAATCAAGTGCTCTCGTTGCTGAACACGGCCATGTGCAGGGTGAACTGACTGACTTTGATATTTGGGCTGAAGTGTTTGAAGCCAATATGGTGGATAGCCCAAGAGAGTGGTACATTGATAGTGATGTCACTCGTCATTGTGTTCTGACAAGGAGTAGTTTTCTTACTACACCTTCTACTGCTCGGAAACTTCACATGGTAAACTCCTCCACGTCTCATGTGGCTGGAATTGACATTGTGGTGCTGAAGTTAACTTCTGGAAATGAGTTGAAACTTAAGGATGTTCTGCATGTCCCAGACATCCGCAAGAATATCGTTTTTGGATCTCTTCTTGTAGAGCATGGATTTAGGCTGGTGTGTGATGATAAAAGTTTGTTTTTAGCAACTTTGAAACTTTCCTTGGTCGTGACTATCTCGACAAGGAATTATACAATATGAATGCAATGCAATGATTGTGGGTTGTGTAATAGATACCAATGATAATGAAAAGTCTACTTCTGTTTATACGTTATTGAGTGTTCTGATTTGTGACATATTAGATTAGGACATGTAAATATAAATACAATTAGACGGTTGATGAGTTTATAATTAATTTTTAATTCTAAAATCGAGACACATAAAAAATGTGAAATTTGTGTTGAAGCCAAAATGACTAAGTTAATTTTTTATTCAGTGGAAATGAGTACTGAACAGTTGTAATCTAATCCATATTGATGTATGTAAACTAAAAATTGTGCAAACGAAAACGGGTAAAAGTATTTTATAACTTTTATCGATGAATGCACAAGTTTTGATACTTTTATTTGTTAAAAAGCAAAGACGAGGCTATAAAAGCGTTTAAAAATTATAAGACCGAAATTGAAATTTTATTCGACAAAAGGATTAAAATAATCCAAAATAATAGGGGTTAAGATTATGTAGCTCCTTTTGAACAAATATGTTCCGAATATGGCATAATTAATCAAACGATGACCCCACTTGAATCATTTGCCTTTTGCATTGCGTGAACAAATGTGATTTTAGCCATACTGCAAATGGCCAACTTGATCTCATTACAACTAGCACCAATTGCTCCCCATCTCTATATTTATATATTTGCTTGAGTTTAGTTAAAACAACGGAAGAGAAAAAAAAAGCCGAGAAGTGACGAGAGGGGTAAATCAGGAAAAGCGGAGAAAAAATAAATGATAGTTTTGTTGAAGAAAAAAAAAATGTCTGTTACCAAAATAGCAAAAGAGGGGAAAAAGATATAATTTTATTAGTCGTATAAAAATCATTCTATTTTTAAATGTTCAATTCTCAACTCTGTTCCAGTTCGCCGGAGCTCGAAGTCTGGTGTGCTACAAATTTCGAGACGATCGCCGTTGTATCTTTGGGGATGATACGCCTGAACCGTCGGCACTACACGGGGGCGTATTTGTCTTGCGGAAAGAGTTTACTCGTCTCGGCAATAATCTTTCCATCTTTTCAAGATGTAATTTATTTTCAATTCTATTGTAATTTTATAATTTTAGTTCATTTGTAAGAAGTTTGACCGAGCTCTTTATCAACTTTTCTACACTATGGCTTCAAATGATGCCCATCAGTCATCACTATGTCTCAGTGCTTATTGTGCTTATTTCTTTCTTTTATTGAAAATTGTTTGAGGAAGTTGGAACTAATATTCAATCTGGAAAATTTCAGGTTCAACTAGCAAACCAGAATCAGCTTGTTGATCATTACAGCTCCAAGCACCCAAAAGAGCAGCCTCCAAGCAACTCAGGATAGCAACTCATTTGGTTCTGAAAGTAAGAAACCTGGTTTCGGTTATGGTGCTGTGAAAATTGTAATTAGACTCCCAAAAATTCATAATCACATTCTAAGACTTGTTGTGCTTCTGGTTTGTATGAATGTAACTGCGTGCAAGTTGTGCATGCCTCCTACACCCCCTTTTTCACTACCCAGATAATACATATGAGAAAATGCAGTACATTTATTTTTTTTTTTTTTTCTTGTGGAATAATGCCAGTTAACATCACACTATTGCTTGTCCTAGGATTATGATTTCTGCTTCTTTATGCATTCAGATAACCAAATAAATTTAGGGTGCCTAAACCAATGTACTGATTTTGTTGAGATATTTGTATCTCATACATATGCTCTTTTGATCATATATTGAATATGAAAGCAAGAGTTCTAAAAATGTGACGTGGTCGCTTGAATGTACGTAAAAGAAGCACGAAATCACTCCTCTGCTGCTCGATTAAGTTTTCATTCATCTCCCCAGGCTAGAAAGAAAGACGACATTACTGTTTTCGCTCTATTACTGGACTGTATTGGCTTTTTATTGGGTGGTTCAATATTATTTTTTCCTTAGATTGACTGTGTTATCCTGATGAGTGACAAGCTAAGCTTGATGCATTTGATTGTTCTTTGCATGTAGCACACAATTGGACGTGATTGGCTGTTATCTAGATGCCGGTTACTCTTGTGCTGTATTATTGGAAAACAGATTGAATATTTTAAATTTGATATAGATTAATTTTGATAATAATAAATAGTTGAATAAAAAGTTAAGTCTATATGTATAAATATTATTTGAGGCTGTTGTACATGTATTTACAATAATTTTCCGGTTAAAATTGCAAATTGCAAATTGCAAAGTTTGCAACAGTATAGAGTTTGTAATCACTTCTTTTTACTTGCAAATTGCAATGTTTGCAACATTATTGGAGCTTGATGACTAATTTAGCTAATCATCACTTCTTCTTTTTTTACTTGCAAATTGCAATATTTGCAATATTAGAGTTTGTAAAATTTAAATATAGTAAAAAAATGTAATTGTTACGTCATCATAGCATAACCTATAATTATAATTTTATTAATTTCTTATTTTTTTATAGAGAATTTTGACAAAAATATACAATTTTTTTAAATAGTAATTGTGTAATGATCAAATTTATTATTATATAATACATACCATAACATTATTATATAATACATATCATTACAGAGTTACAACAACCACATAGCCTTTTAGTCCCAAACAAGTTGGGTAGGTTAGAGATGAAACCCAAGAGAACCAATATAAGAGAAAAAAAAAAAAAAAAAGCTAAAAGCTCAAAACAAAATGAAGAGATTTGAGCAAAAAAGAGAAAGGAGCAAAAGTCACAGTTCTGGCACGTTGATTGCTAGCCTCCAAGCGCTCCTATCCACCGCTAGATCCTTGGAGATATTTCAATCTTTAAGATCTTTCTTAACTGAATCTTTCCAAGTGAGTTTAGGCTGACATTTACATCTCTTTACATCATCGACCGGCTGTAGAACTCCCCTGTGCACCGGTGCATCGGGCGGTCTCCGTTAGACATGTCCGAACCACCTCAGCCGATGTTGAACCATTACATATTTTTTATTTTCAAAATTAAATTTATGTTGTCATAAATATTATCTTTAATTATTATATTACACCACTCTTAAATAATTCTTCATAAAATACTAATGTTTATAAATTAGTCCTTATTATTATTAAATATCCAAATTGATTCCACCACAAGTAACCAAGATACACAATTAGTGGTAACCACTAGCACGCTTTTAGAAGCACGACTTTACGCTGTCAATATATATATCTATCTCATCTTCATCTTCATCTTCATCGTGGCCTAAACCTAGGGTTTGCTCCAATTCCTTCTTATCTTCAATCCCAATTCCTTCGTATCTTTAGTCCGGAGTGAACATATATGCAGCCGCCGAACGTAATCCTGCCGCCGCCGCCGCCGTTTGCTATATAATATCGTTTCTTTCGCGAATCGATTCATGATTTGGGAATTATCAGTTATGATTATCCCCGTCGAATTTCAATTCTCATCGTCACATGGTATGAAGCTGAGCTATAATCTCCGAGTTTTTGGACCTGGTTTGAATCCTTTTGCCCCCTACAACATGGCCAATCATTCCTCTCGCTAAATTTTACGCTCTGTTTTTTTCGTTTTTTTCGAGCTTTTATATTGAGATAATGTAAAAGGATTTCACATTAGCGAAGCGATTGTCAATTGGTTTTTGTGTCAAGTTTTCTGTCCTGAATTCTGAGGCTATCGTTACAGACGAATATTGAAGGTTTTTTTGTTTTGATTCGAAGGCCCTCGTTTGTTTTTCGTTGTAATCGTAGTGTTCTTCCTTTTACAAAAAAAAAAGGGATCTTCAAGAATTGGAACCTTACCTGTGAAACTGCTAAGTATGTGAGACGGTCTTTAGTCTTGGACCTTGGCCTCTTTTTAGAATCAAAGGGTTGGGATTTGAAGTTTTTAGGTTTGTTACGCATAGCAAAGTATTTGTCTTTGTATATCAAAAGACAATACATTTATACATATATCTACGCATATATTATCCTTCAATGCCGGAGTTCGAGATTGAATCTGTTAGGAGGAGCCGAAGGGTGTTTAGATCCGGAGATGATAGGGATGATCGAGGCTGGACCTTGCTCCACATCCATGCTAGGAAAGGTGACCTCAGAGAGGTAATTATACTCTATTTCCTAGGTTTTAACTGTATGTTATTCTATTGACTTGACTATTTGACTGATGCCTTTTATTCTGTGCGGTTTTTGTTAGTTTCCAGTGCTCTAATTAGTCGCAACCTATGTTCATAATATGCTGTATTCTGAACATATACTTCACGAAAGGAATCGGTGTTCTTTCATTCTGATACTGAATTTGTAGGAATATGCTTCTATTGTTAATCAATATTCGAGCAATCAATATTCGAGCAAAAAAATTGGTGTTGCATGCAAATCAAGGATGTGTCAACTTTCTTTCAGTGTATCTTATATATGTGTATTACATTGCCTCGTTTCTCCAATCACGGCATTTTTCCATTATGTTGAACTATAATTTTGCTTGCGTGAAACCATAATGTAGGGTTAGAGATAATGTTCGTTTTCTTGTTGCCTTTGTTGGTAGAAATGAGTCCGAGTGTTGTAATGTGGCTTATTTGGAAAGGGCTTTAGCAGCAACATGCAATTCTTGGAAGGACTTTTGCATTTTCTTTCTCTTTTTCCATCCATTTGATTTGGAATATTTGCCTTTAAATTCTTTTCTTAGAAATATCTTGATCTTTCCTCAAGTTTCTTTTTCTTTCTTTTTATTTTGTGATACATATATTTCTCTCTTTATTTTACCACCTTTTAGGTGAGACGGCTTCTCGATGAAGGAATGGATGCTAATGTGGCTGCCTTGGGCCCGAAGTCCCACGGTGTGACCCCTCTCCATCTTGCTGCTAAAGGGGGCCACATTAAAGTAATGGATGAACTGCTCGAGCGTGGGGCCAACATAGATGCCCGAACTAAGGGTGCATGCGGCTGTAAGTAGTTATGTCTAAACTCAAATAAGAAACAATGCAATAACATATTCTTTTAATGTCAATTCATTTTTTATTTTCACTTGGTACAGGGACCCCACTTCACAATGCAGCTAAAGAAAGAAAGAAGAAAGCAATAAAATTCTTAGTCGAAAACGGGGCATTTTTGCCTGACAACATCAATGACACAAGGTTCAACCCGCCAATGCACTACTGTCCCGGCCTCGAGTGGGCTTATGAAGAAATGAAGCGTTTGCAGGACACATCTTCTTCATGTGAGACATCCTGCAGCTCAGATGACTGAGGCGTGTACGTATCTGCCCTCAGAAACTGATGTTTTTTCTCGATACTTTTTGAGTGTTCTGGAGGAAGATGAGTGATCTACTACTTCTGATGGCTTTGATCTTCAGCTCTGTTCCTTGGTTGCTCTGTGGTGACTGATGTACAGAGTGTGTATTTCATGATAATGATAATAGTGTCTGACCTTGGATAAAGTGTGTTTTTTCTTGTGTTTGTCTTCTTGAACAAGTATCTTCGTGCGCTTGTGTAGTTTCAGTCTCTTTAGTGATGATCGGTCTGTGGGGATGATTTCTCATTTAAGAACAAACTATGTTGTGGAGTGCTCTGTGGTGATTAAATTGCTCAATAAATGTGACTCTTTCTCTATGTGCGGCCTCTGCTATTTTTGTCAATTTTTTTTTTTAAGAGATTGTTTACTTTTCGAAATGTTAATAGCTACACTTTTTAAATGAGTTCCAGCAAAAATACCATTGTTAGCTGACCCGTAACCGTGTACGGATTTGGTTGAAGATCTCCCAACAAGTGCTCAAGTAAGTGATCATGCTACATGTACCATTTGGTGTACCATTTGGTTTACATCCAAGGGAATATGTCGCTATGTTATTGTGAGTTCAGCAAGTGCTAAATTGCTATGTCGAAATAAAACTCGCACGTGCTAAATTCATTGTTCTAAAAATCGGCCTAGACGTTAAGCGGTGTCCGGGCGCCTCTGATTTGCACAAATCGGCAGAAAAAATCGGTCAGGTGCCTAGGCGCTCCAAGGCGGACTCGGCGGTTAGGCGGACCTAGGCGCTCCTAGGCGGGATCGGCGTCAATTTTTCTTTTTTTTTTTTATTTTATTTTTTTTTTAAATACTAATTACATTATTTTATTCTCATGTTTTTTTAAAAAATATATTAATTTTATTATTTGGACTTAGATGTGTCGATTTATTATAAGTTGAGATAATTTTATTTTGTAGGTAGTTAAAATAAATAGAAATAAGGTAATATTGATTTCTAGGTCCCGACTAAGCGCTGGTCGAGCGCCTAGTGGGTGCCTAGCGGGCGCCTAGTGACTTTTAGAACACTGGCTAAATTACATATGTTGCAATAAATAGAAATTCTTTTGGAAATAAAACAGGAATTCATCAATCAAAACCCGTCAGTGGAGGGCAGCTGGCAGAGGTTGAGGCCGTAGCTCAGGGAGCTATCGGCGGATTCAGGGTTGGAGCCCCGATCCGGCTCCAAATGGAGGGTGGAGTCGATGCTGTTGGATTGGGAGAGTGAGGGTAGGTTTGCAAGGATTTTGAGCTTCTTGTGGGGGCGGTAGCCGGGGAGCGGGGTGATTAGCTTGATCTTGGAGCCCGCCGGTACGGAATTCATATTTAGTTTAGGGGAATAGTCGAATAGACTTATATCATTACGACTAGTGCACATTCTGTGTGATATACGGATTTGTTACTTAAATTTTTTTTTTTTAAAAAAATTGTTTTAAACATAATTATAGATATTTAACATCTCATTATTGCAATATATATATATATATATATATTATTTATTTGAGTAGAATGAGTGTCTACAACCAAACCATAACATCTATAAACGTTTATGTTTATTCTTAAAGACTATTTTAATTGATTAATTAGAGGTCTTATTTGAGGAGTAATATCAATTATAGTATTTTTTTGGCTAATTGGGAGAAAAATACATCACTTTTAGTCGATTGATAATTTAATCACCATCTTTAGACCTTAGCAATGTAATACATCACCTTAGGTTTCTTGGAAACCAAATACACAAATTAATCTCCATCGACGAAAAGCTAATGTGATTAATTTTTTTAACGACTACAACACACTTAAGTCTAATTCAACAAACAGAAGCCGAATCATCATATAGACATTAAAAATTTAATTCATCACCTAAGGTCTCTTGGCAAACAGATCCATGGATTTAACATCCGCCGATGGAAAGCTGCCACATCAACTTTCTCCCATCTAAGAACCGCGCATCCGATATGAGACCCTCATCAACTACGCAGCTACAGTTGCTCGTCTATGAGGTGCTCGACAGATCTACCACTACTTGTCGTCGCCTTTCGACGAGCTAAGCAAACTGTTGATGCTCGAAAATGACAACGTCATTCGTCTCTTCACACACCGCAAGACCACGACTCAAAAATTTGTCTTGGGGTAATTCTTTTAATAGCCAAGAAATAATATCTTTCTCCTAATTTTTATAAATATAATTAACTAATATCAATGACTCATTATGACACATCACATCAATTTTGAATTCACAAAATTCTATGGAGCCATTAGACGATGCATAACTTTATGTGGTGACATATGTATAATGTGCATTTATTGTATGACACGTGTCAATACATCATTTGTGAATAACTATGGATTAATCCATGAGCCGAGTCATCCGATTGCTCCATAACAAAAACAGTTCAATATTCATTCACTTACATATTTTAACTACTATCACATCTTATAATCTCTCTCTTATTCACATCATATTCTTCACTTTAATAATCATCACATTAAATATTATTTAATTTTAAATTTATTTTATTAAAAATAACTCACTTTAATATCATAATCAGTTTAATACATCTATATATATATAAAAGCCAAGCAGCTCAAGTTTTCCCTCCTAAACTATTGTAAATACATATCATTAATATTTTGATCAATTTGATATAGTTTGTCTTAAAGTTGTAATGATATGATTTTCATTAAGTATGAGAGCTAAAATACTACTAATATTTATTGGTATATATGAAACCAAGGAAAACATAATTACACTCATTTTCCCATGTACATCTAATACATACTTCAAGTAAATTAATTATACATTTTAAGAAACTTAGAGGAAAAAAAATTACAATAAAATTTAAAAATAACAGGTATAATACAGTTTTACGCGAAAAATACTTCCAATACACACACACATACAAACACACACACACACACACACACACACACACACATATATATATATAATGAAGAAATTTGGAGGGAAAATTTTACTCTAAAACTGCATTAATTACCTATAAATAAATTTGTCAATTTCTATGTAGATTTCATAATAATGACAACTATTTATCATAAATGAATTTGTATATAACTTAGAAACTTGCACTCTAATTCACATTTTAAAGTTAAATTGTTATTGCCACTCTAGAAATTCACAACAAAATATAATTATTTGTTACAAATACATTTTGTAAATAATTATTTAGTGTGAAGTTGCATTCCAGTTTTCTATTAATTTTTTTTTTATCTTATTCCT